ATAAAAATTCATTACTCGGGCTAGGGACCTCGGAATTCGATTCCGGGCATACGCCCAGGTCCCATATTTTCCCACGGACCCTCATAAATTGTCAAATCACGATTCCGGGTCCGATTCCCCAAAATGTTGACCGAAGTCAAACTTGGCCTTTTGAAAGAAACTTAAAGAAGCAACTAGGCTTATTCTTGCTCAAAACTCTTCTAACTTCCGAACCCCCCGTCCCCGCAAGTCATAAATTAGCTAAAGCAAGTACAAAAATATTATTTAAGGGAACGGGGTTTGGAAATGCAAAACGACCAGTCGGGTCGTTACATTCTCCACCTCTTAAACAAACGTTCGTCCTCGAACGGACATAGAAAAGTACCTGGACTGCTGAATAAGTGGGGATATCGGCTCCGCATGTCCTCCTCGGAATCCCAGGTCGCCTCCTCGACCGGCTGGCCCCTCCACTGGACTCTTACTGCAGAAATCCTCTTGGACCTCAACTGGCGGTCCTGTCTATCAACAATGGCAACTGGCTCCTCCTCGTAGCCCAAGCTCTCATCTAACTGTATGGTACTGAAATCCAACACATGTGAATAGTCGGCATGATACTTCCGGAGCATCGATACATGGAAGACTGGATGAACTCCTGATAAACTGGGAGGTAAAGCAAGCTTATAGGCAACCTCTCCAACTCGCCTCAATACCTCGAAGGGGCCAATAAACCTTGGGCTCAACTTGCGCTTCTTTCCGAACCTCATAATGCCCTTCATAGGCGAAACCTTCAAGAGGACCTTCTCGCCAACCATAAATGATACATCGCGCGCCTACTGATCCGCGTAACTCTTTTGCCTGACTGAGCTGTGCGGAGCCTCTCCTGAATCAACTTTACCTTATCCAAGGCATCCTGAACCAAATCTGTACCAAGCAACTTAGCCTGACCAGGCTCAAACCACCCGATAGGAGAATGACAATGTCGACCATATAATGCCTCATACGGGGCCATCTCTATGCTGGACTGATAGCTGTTATTATATGCAAACTCCGCCAAGGGTAAGAACTGATCCCACTGCCCTCCAAAGTCAATCACACATGCTCTAAGCATATCGTCTAAAATCTGAACTATCCGCTCCGACTGCCCGTCGGTCTGAGGATGGAATGCCGTGCTAAGCTCCACGCGGGTCCCCAACTCACTCTGAACAGCCCTCTAGAAATGGGAAGTGAACTGAGTGCCTCTGTCTGATATGATGGAGACCGGCACACCGTGCAACCTCACTATCTCCCGAATGTAAATCTGGGCATATCTCTCCGCCGTATAAGTAGTCGCCACTAGAATGAAGTGGGCAGACTTGGTCAATCTATCCACAATAACCCACAGTGAATCAACCTTCCGCTGAGTCCGCGGCAACCCAACCACGAAATCCATGGTGGTGCGCTCCCACTTCCATTTCGGAATGGGCATCCGCTGGAGTAGGCCACCTGGCCTCTGGTGCTCATGTTTAACCTGCTGGCAATTCAAACATTTAGCTGCATACTCCGCAATGTCCTTCTTCATCCTCCGCCACCAGTAATGCTGCCTCAAGTCACGATACATCTTCGTGGCACCTGGATGAATGGATTACCTCGAACTGTGGGCCTCCTCTAGAATCCTCTCTCTCAAGCCATCAACATTAGGAACACATACACGGCCCTGAAGCCGTAACACACCATCCTCGCCAATAGAAATCTCCTTGGCACCTCCCTGAAGTACCGTCTCTTTGAGGGCCGCCAAATATGGATCATCGAACTGGCGGGCCTTAATCTGCCCCAATAACGAAGACTGAGCAACCACACATGCTAGAACTCGGCTGGGCTCTGAAATGTCCAATCTCACGAGTCTGTTAGCTAATGACTGAATGTCCAAAGCTAATGGTCTCATCTCAGCAGGAATGAATGCCAAGCTACCCATACTCTCTGCCTTCCTACTCAAGGCATCCGCGACCATATTTGCCTTGCCTGGGGTGATAAAGAATGGTAATGTCATAATCCTTTAGTAACTCAAGCCACCTACGCTGCCTCAAATTAAGATCCCTCTGCTTGAACAAATGCTGCAAGATGCGATGGTCTGTATAAAGCCCACATGACACTCCATATAAATAATGCCTCCATATCTTAAGAGCATGAGAAATCGCCGCCAACTCTAGATTGTGCACAGGGTAATTTTTCTCATGAACCTTCAACTGGCGTGAAGCATATGCAATAACTCGCCCCTCCTGCATCAATACACATCCCAAGCCAACGCGAGAAGCATCGCAATACACTGTATACATCCCTGAGCCGGAAGGCAATACAAGAACTGCTGCCGTAGTCAAGGCCGTCTTGAGCTTCTGGAAGCTCTCCTCACAATCATCGGACTAACAGAACGGGGCCCCTTTTGGGTCAATCTGGTCAGAGGTGATGCAATAGATGAAAAGCCCTGCACAAATCGCCGGTAATAGCCTGCTAACCCCAAGAAGCTCCTGATCTCGGTCACTGAAGTAGGACGTGGCCAACTCTGAACTGCCTCAATCTTCTTGGGATCCACCTTGATACCCTCTCCTGACACTACATGCCTAAAGAATGCTACTGACTCTAGCCAAAACTCACACTTGGAGAACTTAGCATAAAGCTTCTGCTCTCGCAAGGTCTGAAACACTACTCTCAAATGCTGCTCGTGCTCCCCCAGCCTACGTGAGTATATCAAGATGTCGTCAATGAAGACGATGACAAAAGAATCAATATAGGGCCTGAACACCCTGTTCATCAAATCCATAAATGCCGCTGGAGCATTAGTCAAGCCAAAGGACATCACCAGAAACTCATAGTGGCCATACCTAGTCCTGAATGCAGTTTTCGGAACATCCGAATCTCGAATCTTCAGCTGATGATACCCTGACCTCAAGTCGATCTTAGAGAACACCCTATCACCCTGAAACTGTTCGAACAAATCATCAATACGGGGCAATGGATACTTGTTCTTGATGGTGACTTTGTTCAACTGGCGGTAATCAATGCACATCCGCATAGTCCCATCCTTCTTCTTCACGAATAGCACTGGTGCACCCCAAGGCGATACACTGGGCCTAACAAACCCCTTTGCTAACAACTCCTCCAACTGCTCCTTCAGCTCCTTAAGAGCCATACGGTACGGTGGGATAGATATAGGTTGAGTGCCTGGAGCCAAATCAATACAGAAATCAATATCACAGTCCGGAGGCATGCCAGGAAGGTTAGAAGGAAAAACATCGACGAACTCTTGGACTACTGGCACTGAATCATTCGTCGGAGACTCTGCGGTGGTGTATCGCACATAATCTAGATAAGCCAAACATCCCTTCTCCACCATGCGCTGAGCCTTCAGGAAAGAAATGACCCTGCTAGGCGTATCAACTGTTGAACCCTTCCACTCCAATCTCGGCAACCCCGACATCGCTAGAGAAACAGTCTTGGCATGGCAATCTAGAACGGCGTGATATGGAGATAACCAATCCATGCCCAGAATAACCTCAAAATNATAAAATTACAACCAAGGAAAGCCTGATTCAGGCTTCCTGCCTGAAGCATAAAGTAAACCGTCTCCAAAGATCAGATTTCAAAAGCCTTTCTCTCATTTGGGGTGTGTCAGAGTTCCCTAAGAGCCTCATGCAGACTCCGGGCAGTGCTCACACCCAAATACATTGCAGGATTGAGTCATAGTGCAGTGTGGAAGGGCCAACCCTCAAGTGTCCAAGTTCAGAGGGAACTCAAGGTCCCTAATCATGGCACATAGGAGGGGGACAGAACTTAGAAGCTAAGAGAGAGTGTAAGTGCAGAGAGGAATTCTAAGAGGAAGCAAAGACAGGCTAATGGTCATGCCTAGCAATTGGAAGTGCTGGCACACCCCACCAGCCTTTTAGGCCACATTGTTTGGGAGTTAGGACCCCCTAAGGGATCAAGTCCAAACATGAGCAACAACTTGCATGTTGCCATGTTCTGAACTTCAACTCAAAGCACATAGAAGGGAAGAGGGGTGCAAGGATTCACAGCAGAGACAAATGCAAAGAAATAATCATGCTAAGTAACATTGAATGTAGACAGCAAAGCAAACATGGGTGTAAAGGCTGTAAATAAACACATTGGGATGAGGCTGAAACCACAACTAGAACATACCAGTTTCAAGGAAACAAGAAAAGGAAGCAGCAGTCTTGTAAAGCCAAAGTGCAAGCAAGTAGTCAGAACACTATGATTTTAGAAGAGAACTATGAGATTGTAAGTTTCTCTCATGTTGAATTGAAAGTTGTTTGATCGTATTAACCGTATATAATGTGTAGAAAGGGTCGTGCCTTTTATAGTGTAGAAAGCAAATAGAAATAGGTAAGAAAAATAGTTTGAAAATCAATTACCTAAGGTTTCCCTTTAATTAAGGGGTTCTGATTTCAAACGGGCAAAACTAATTAAGGAAAGAGATTAATCAAACACTTTTCAAAGCAGTACAAGAGGGGTAAATACATAGAGGTTTGTTTAAGGACAAGGTCTTGACAGTACACGGTTTGTGCAAATAAGGAAAGGAAATCAATTACCAGCCAGTAAATCACAAGGTCTGAATGAATCCAGTCAGAAAAGGTGAAGAAAGGTTTTACTTAAGGAAAATCAGTAACAATCAATCAAACCTAAAAAAGGATTCTGAATCAATCATAAGTTGGAAAACCTTTTCGGAAGAAAGAATTCATCACACATATAAAATCATACAGCCACACTTAAACACGAAGAAATTTGTCATGCTATTCAATAGTAGATTCTTGTGTAGAAGAATTTAAAAGTTCAGAGTCGTAAACAAAGAAGTTCAAACTTAGTTCATAGACTCAGAATGAGTCTGAAAGAGTCAAGGGTTCCAAAATAGAACCCTAGTTCAAACACATGACCAAACCTCGGTAGAACCCCCAAATTCTAGGGTTTCCAACTCGAGTCAAGCACGGGGATGTGGAGGCAACAGGCTCAGAGATTTCTTTTCAGAATTCTCATGAGAAGACAAGCAAATACAATAGAAAGTTCGAAGCATAATGAGAGTAGAAGAAACAACAGAGGAAAACATGCTTAAACGGGTCTTAAAACGAGGTAAAGTAGAAGTGAAACAGTAAACACTTAAGAACATGGTAGAGAAATACAGTAGAAGAACACAAGAACACCAGAACAATATAGCAAAAGAACATATAGGAAAACACAGTGAGATAAACATGTGAGAGCATGGTATAGAAACACAGTAGAGGAAAGAATGGAGCACAGTAGAAGAACATGCATGATAAAGGAAAACATAAGAACACGGTAGAAGAACATGCGTGGTAGAAAAGAAAACATAAGAACATAGTATAGACAAATACACACAAAGAAAAGAAAAAGAAAAGTCAGAGAAACATTTTGAACCCTTCAAAAAACCCTAAATCGAAGAGAAGTGATTTTTAAAAGATAATTTTGAAAGAAAAAATTGGGGAAATTGTTTAAAAACTCAAGTAGAGCACAAATATATAAGAGATCGAAGAAAAAAATCAGAGAAAACCTCGAATAGCTAGGGTTTCAGAAGAACCCTAAAACGAGAAAGGCTTTGAAAAGGTCGATCTTGGACGGAAAGGTCAGAGATAGCTCATAGGACCAGGATACGCCGGAGCAAGGCCGGCGATGGCCGTGAAAACTCGAGTTGGCACAGGTCTGGATGAAGACCTTCAAGGTCCGGCCTCGATTTTTCAAATGTTGAGCACACAGGAGTATCAGGGGGTGAGTATAAGGTTACCATGGCCGGAGGAGCCATGATTTCCGGTGGGTCTTGAGGTTGGAGATGGTGAGAGAGGCTAGGGTTTCGAGAGAGTTTGAGAGGAGAGGGATTTCAGAGGCGGCTGATAGAAGAGAATGAGGGGGATTATGGTAGTCTTTGGGAATTAAAAAGGTAAGGAATGATCGTGGCCGTTGATCAAAATGATCAACGACCTGGATTTAAAAAAAAAGCCGGGCGGGTTAAATTGGTTGGGTCGAGGCCCGGTTCTATTGAAATTGGGTCGGTCCGCTAAGGGTTTGAAATTGGGTTAATTAGGGGATCAATTTGGCTATAATTGAAATGCAAATGAGGCTATCAGTTAAATAGCCACTTTTCCCTTTTAAATTTATAAAGAATAGTAAAATGATTTTCTGAAACAAATTGAAAGCGCTATATTAATTAATAATATATAATCATTGATTTAAAAATACTGGAATAAATTTTATAAGTATAAGATGCTGTTAATTCTTAAAATAGGCTAAAATCGCAATTATATGCAATTTAGCTTTTTAAAATACCAAATAAATTTGTAGAAATGTATGAAAATTACCCTAGCTATATTTTGGTATAAATATAAGAATAAAATAAGTTATTCACCAAGATTATAATTTTGGGAATAATTATTGGTTTTTGTACTACTAAAATGGACAATAAATTGATTTAAAAATCCTTTAAAAATTAGGAAAAAATACTAAAACACTTGGGCATACTTATATATGCTATTTTGAAAGTATTTGCATGTAAAAAAAATACATAGGGAAAAATTGGGTATCAACAATAATAATGTGCAAACCTGTGGACATCAACTAGAATATCCCAAAATCCGGTGTCACAAGTGCATGAACATTTACTAAGGAGTATAATAATAATACAATATCTATCCGGAATGTAAATTAGACAGGATAAAGTAAATAATACGATGGAGACTTTGTGGGTTTTGATACGTATCCTGGAATGCAGCTTACCATAAAGTCTCCTCAGCAGTTGCGCCTACGCGCCAAGATGACTGCCAAAAGAACCTGTCAGATCCTGCACATTTAGTGCAGAAGTGTAGCATGAGTACGTAAATCAACGCGTACCTAGTAAGTATCTAGCCTAACCCCGGAGAATTAGTGACGAGGGGTCGACATCGATACTTACTTGTGGTCCAATAAATCAGTATGATAAATCACAAACAGATATGAAGCACAATAGTAATAATGAGGTGAAACGGTAAATAACATAATCCTCCAACATTTCTTTTGACGATATAAATCTCTCAAATCTATTATACTATCTTAACATCCTAGAGCATAAAATGCAATCTCCAATGAATAAGGAGTACCATATAAATGGCAGGCCTCAATAAAAGGGGAATCTCATGAATATACAGACTGCTAGCGATATAACACACGATTATGCCGAGTTCGTACGGTCCGATCAAGAGTGGTGTGTACACTGCCGAGGAATAACCGACGCAAACCAGAGATGCATCTCAATATATTATCGAGGCGTTCGACCTGATCCACAGGAAAGAAAGAAACTTATCGAATTACGAGTCGCGTGCTTACAACATAGGTGCAGGAGCATAAAGTAAACATGAATTTTACCGTTTATCAAATATCTCGCCAAACAACTCAAGGTGATAAAACTCGGCCTACCAAATAAATTTCAATTAGAAATTCACTTAATTAAGCAAGCTAAAAAAAAAAAGAGTTAAACTGATTCAAATATTACATGATGAGGTCCTAAGCCTACTCGAACATAAACATGCTTTTAGCTACATACGGACTCTCATCACCTCGTGTGTACGTAGCACCCACAACTAGTAGCACATAACAAATTTTAATATCTACGGGTGGTTTCCCCCTCATAAAGTTAGACAGGAGACTTACCTCGCTCCGAAATTCCATAACCGGCTCCAACGCCTCTCTAACACCTCAAACCATTGCCCATCGATCCGAAACTAGTCAATCAATGTGAAAATCAATCAAAATATCTCCAATGTGTATAATGTAACAATTTATAATAATTCTCAACTCCACTCCAAAAGTCAACAAAGTTATTGATTTTTTTTTAATTTCATTTTTTTGTTCTTGCTAATGGTAAAAGGGGGGGGGGGGTGTTGAATGTGGGGGCTCGGTCATGTCATATAAGCCCGAGTTGGACCCTCAGGTCCACGTGCTCATATTTCGAAAATTTTCGAAGATAAACTTTACCCATAATGCTATGAACTCAAATATATGATTTATTCC